CAACCACAGTCCCTGCACCAATGCCTCTAAATTCGTTACCTTCCTCTGACCTCCAGACCCAATTGCCCCTGGACATCTCCCTCTGAGTGCACACTCCTGAAACGTCAAACACACAGAACCCAGTCCATCGCCTTAGCCCAACACCTGCTGTGTCTGTATCCGGGAATGGCCTTGCCAAGCACAATTGCCCTAATGGAAATTCCAAGAGTGATTCTGTAGGTCCCCCTGTCCCTCACCTCCCTTACCCTGTCAACCACTATGTCTCACTGATTCTTCTCCTACACAGTTCTCAAATCTTCTACAAATATCTTAGTTTTAGCCATTCAATTATTTCATGAGATAAATTCTAAAATATGGGATTGCGAGTTAAAGAGTGCTTTTCTTTTAACCCTTTGGTACATATTAGTAACCCTCTTACCAGATAAAGTTTAGCAGACTCTAGGAGCCCCAAGTGAGAGGCTGGTTTCTCTCCACCCACAGCAGTGTGAGCACTGTCACAGTTTTAGTCTTTAGTGCAAAACCTCACTGAAGAAGAAGTATCTCCATTGTAGTCTTTTGATCTCTAGAGTCGATAAATGCTTTTCAGGCTTCTTGAACTGCCTGTTTTGATTCTTAGCCTATTACTCTATTAGGGCTTTCATGACTTTCTTATTTACTTAAAAAAGCTCTTTATATATACTAAAAATGTTAACCTGTGCTTCATAATATAACTGCAATTATTTTGTGTTTGTCATTTCGTATTTTAATTTGGTATTGTTCAGCTTTGCTGTACAGAAATCTGAAATTTGTATGAAATCAAATTTTTCAGTCTACTCCTTCGTTTTCTGGCTTTGGTTCCAGGCTTAGGAAATTCTTTTCCAGTCCAAGTTATTGTTATTTTTAATCTCCTCTTTTTCCATTTCCTTCAAATTCTTATCTGTCACTTCTATGTTTCTATCCCATCTGGTCACCTTTCTCCTCAGACTTTTTTCCCTTTATTATTTAAGATATCATTTAATAGAAAATCATGGCTTTTGAAATTCTGCTTGGAATGCCAGACCCTTTTCAGAATCTCCTCCTGGTTTCTGTAGCAATCCTGTTCACAGGGCTGCTTTGACCAGATGTCCCTTCCTCTTTGTTCTCCTGTGTTCTCCCAGGAGAGCTCACCAGTTCTGGGATGAGGGGGACTCTGACCACTGGTCAGAGTGGTGTGCCTGCCCTTGTCCCAGGGCTGGAGTTCCCTTCAGGAGGGCCGGCTGCTATGCACGTCCTGGTATCCAGTGTCCTCCCTGGTATGCAATTTTGCTGGACCACCGTCCATTCACCCCTACTCACCATTCATATTAAATAAAATTTCTGCTCTTAAACCTGACTGGGTTTATTTTAAGCTGAGCTAATCCATTTAGAAAAGGTGAGAAGGGCATCAAAATCCCAACAGGAAACCATTTTTAATGTTTTTTCTTGATATGACACTATGTTAAAAAATAAAAATCTTTAGTTACCTTCTCATTATTAAAAGATGCTATAAACAAAGTGAAGAAACAACATTTGGGAGAAAATACTGCAATGCACATAAGTGACAAAGCATTAGTATCCAGATCCCTCCAAAGTGATAAGAAAAATACAAACAACCAGATTTTAAAAACAAATCAGACAAATGAAACAACAGGTAATTTATAAAAGATAAAACAAATTAAGAATTACTAATAATCAGAAAAATGCAAATTAAAACCTCAGTGAGACATTTTGGACTTTTTCAGATTGGCAAAATGAAAAGACTGACAATAGCGACTGTAGGAGAACGTGAGGGACCACAGGGACCCCGTGCTCTGCTGATGCAGTGCAACCTGGAAGAAGCCCTTTGAAGAAGGATTTAACCCGATCCGATAACCTTAAAGGGGCACACACACTACAGCCCAGAAACTCCACTCCTAGGTATATTTCCTAGAGAAATGCTGGCACATGCACTGGACAAGAAACGTCCATGTGGCATTATTTGTGATTGTGAAAAACTGGAATAAACTTAATACACATCAATAGGACAAGGAATGAATAATCTGTAGTATATTTATATAATAGGATACTATATAATACTGAAAAAGAAATAGATAAATGTATCAACATGATCAGCTCTAGAAATAGAATGTTGAGTGGAAAAGGCAAGTTGTAAAAATATATTACAGTACGACTCTACAAAAATCTGTAAGACTATATCGCATATGACTGATGGCTATGTATGTATCCAATAGAAATATACATCCACACAGGGAATGTTGTACCCCAAATTTAAGATACGGGTTACCATTGAAGGAGGGCAGGAGGAAATGGGCCGTAGATTGTATACACAGTGAATTTTAGTTTATCTGAAATGTTTTATCTCTTATATACTGGATGGTGAGTATTCATGCATTGTTTTGAGCAAAATTTTGTGTGGGTCTGAATTTTTTTTT